CCCGACGACTTTCGAGACGGCAAAAATCGGCGAGATCAGGCCCAGGGGCTCAGTCAGGGGCGAGCAGACTGTTTGGCGCCAATAACACCTGCTGTGGTGACTGGCTAGCCTCAGTTCTGGAATCGAGATCGTGATACGGATCGGTATTTGCAAAATGACGACGCAAAACGACGCCAAGGCCGAGCCTCGTCGTTCTGAAGAAGCGTGAGCGGCTCTAGGTAAAAATGTTGTGGCTTGCATTGTCTAAGAATATTTTTAGTTGGAAAGGATGAATGACTTAGAAGCTGGTCAGCCATTTGTCGTTAGTGGTTTCGTTTGGATCGTGTGCCTCACTGTCTCATATGAACTGTTTGAAAATAAAGAGATCGCCGTTTATGGTCGCTACAGTCGAGTGTTTACAAAATCGGAGCAATGTCAGTCTTTTGTAACAAATGGCATAACTAGTCTCAAAAATAAAAATGGCCTGCAAAATTCAGTTATGCCTAGTCATGTAAGCTATTGCGGAGCATTGCCGATATCATTTGAAACAAAATAGCTTTGCATTTAACCCAACATATAAAGTACCTACCTGATTACAGAGACACATGACAAACAAATGATGCGATTATTCAACAAATGATGAATAAGAGCACATCAGCACGATAGAAGAAAGCGAGCTGTTTTGCAGAGGGTACTGTCCTGAGTGCAGCCCGGCCCTGAATTGTTAGTGCAGCCCGTGCAACAGACGTTCAGCGAGCAACGAGCTGGTGAGAGGAGGGACGCGGTTAACGAGAGGGGGAGGCTGCCGGGCGGAGGGGGGGGGGGGTGGCTGAGGAAAGGAGGGATGCAGAGGAGATAGGCTGCCGGGCAGAGGGGGAGGCGGTTGAGGAGAGGAGGGAGGGGGTGGTGAGTGGGGAGGCAGCTGGTTAGAGGAGAGAAACAGTTAGTGAGAAGATGTAGGTTGTTGGTGAGGAAGGAGGCTGCTGGTTAGGGGATAGAGGGGCAGGGGAGGTGAGGGTAGTGTGGCGGCATCTGGCGCACACATGACCCGTCCGTCCGACCGTCTCGGCACGCGGGGGAGCTCGGCAGTCGACACTGAGTGGTAGCCGTCTCAGTTCTGCAGACCGCGACAGGGGATAGCGTGAATTAGTGGCGGACTTATCAGCCGACGGCGCTCACAGCCGAGGTAGCAGTCTGAGTTTCATCACGCTTGATAAGCCACATCTGTCTGTGGATGGAGTAACGGCCATTGCTGAACACAACGGCAGCAAAACGAGCTGCCTCCACGGGGGATATTTTCAGCTGAATGCGGTGCTGGAAGATATTCTTCTGCAATGACACATTCTGTTTCGACCTGAGCCCTAGCCATAAAGCAAAATATCGGTGTGAAAAAGCTTCAGATTTGAAGCCCACGATGCACATGAATCCTTTTATCGAAACAATCACATTTTTGCGATTACTCATGGCTCTCCAGCTTGAATCAAAAGCTATAGGGATGCGGGTATGCGAATAGGCCTAGTTCCTATCCTTCGTAAAATTACACAGCTCCGTCCCTATCTCATCCTCTGTATACACAGCTCTGTCTTCATCCCATCCTCTATAGTCTGTTCTTGCACACACATTACACAGCTCCGTGTCCCCTGGGACGTACTCGACCGGGTATCACATAGGCTCAGAGCCGTCAGCCGCCCGATCGAGGCCTCGTGACCCGACTGGCACGCAGCACGCGGCGTAGGTATATATCACTGTGCCATAAAGGGCATGCCTGTGACGGCATTGGCTTACATTGACGGTCGCTATCCTTGGCAGCGATGGCGGTTGAATAGAGATGTCTGGTGACGTGTGCCTCGCCAGTCATCGGAGAGGTAATATCTCATCCCAGTGTTTCTTTTGAGGATTACTGAAAGACAAGAATAGTTCAACTGACCTTTAGAAGAAAGGATTTAGATGAAAGGCTCTAGACTACCTTTAACTCGAAGAATCTTAAAAGACCTCGCGCTTGCCAACCGTCTTTGAGCATCAAAACACATCAGCAATGCTGTAATAGTGTTGGGCTCCGCTGCTGATCAAAGTACCTACCAGGCAGGGACAGTGTCGTCGATGGCCGACATTTACCGATGCCTCTACTTCTACCGAGCCTTACCAGATTTATCTAACTGCGCCGCCTGGCCAAACTTCCGTCAAGCCTGTGACATGGGTCGCCAAGGCTCTTCTATTAGCATGCATGATGACCATCTAATATGTATGCTAATTTTCCGTCCATATGCCATTGATGGTATACCCCGGTGCGTGGAAATCCGCAGGATAGCTGGGCACTGTGAACATAATCCAGTGTCTGACACCGTCCACGGCAAAGGCCCAATATCCCGCACACGTCTTTTGTAGGAGAACTGCGAGTAGATTGGCAAGCATGACCAGGGGCTCAACAGCAAGTCGTGCTACCAGCTTGGAATTCCTTAACCCTCGCCCGTATAGGGGGGGGGGGGGGTCGAACGGACCCCCCCTCGGTTTTTCGCGAATAACTCGCGTAAAAAGCGACCGGTCGCGACGAAACTTTCAGTACCCTCGCGTAAATTTTACACCTACCCTGAAATTTTCATGACCCTGACCCTAATGACCTTTGACCTGTGACCTACTTTTCGAGACCATGTTTGGCCGGAATCGCGATTCGGCGTTTGTCGGCTCGCATTAGCCGCGCGTTTGCAGTCTTTTCGTGGTTTTAAGCGTTCAAACATGGGATATAATGCTGCTCCCATGCATTAGGGTGGGTGTCAAGGTCACCGGAAGGTCAGGTCAGGTCACTGACCTTTGATGACCTCGGTTCACTTTTTCGAGTTTTACACGTTTCTAGGCCAGTTTTTGGAGCTGAATTCGAATTTAGCAACCATATGAACATTTACGAAGTAGTTTTGGCACCTTCGTAACATGTTACGAAGCTGTCAGAGGTGGTTGCCACCTACTACGAATACCCTTACCGGTTGACCTGACCTGACCTGACCCGACCTGGCCTAAATGCATGAAGACATCATCTGCGATCATAACTAACATGATATTCGTGATCAGCACCCCGAAAAACCCAATAGCAGCCACGCTTTACGACTTTCTAACAGGTCCCGATTTTCCCGACTTTTGGGTCATTGACCTGACCTGGAAGGTCAACCGATGACCTAGGACCTTAAAATTGGGTATCATCGGCTTCCTCTCGTCACGGGCAACACGCTCTTTTTTCCGCGAAGCTCTAGCTCGATCAGGGGCGAAACGGCAAGGGGGGGGTCCAACGGACCCCCCCCCCCTTATACGTTCGCGGCTGGAAAAACACCAATACTGGCGAGGGTTAACCCTCGCCCGTAAACGGTGTTTTGCCACCTTCGCCCATGCAGGGGGGGGGGGGTTGGTGCGACCCCCCCCCTGGCGTTTGAAAACGGAGCGTCGTAGAGCTTAGCGGAAAAGACCAACGGATTGCTCTCAACGAGATCTCGCGATTGGTGGTATATTTTTTGGTCCTAGGTCATTATTTGACCTACTTATGACCGGTCAAAGGTCAAATTTTCGGAAAAATCTAACTTTTTCAGATTTTCGCGCCAATTGCGGCAAAACGGTAAGAGATATCAACTTGAAACCTTCATTATCGTGATCCTTGATCAATTCTCTATCGTTTGGTGTGTATTTCGATGTCATAACTCTAAAAATGATGCGTTGGGAGCATCGGAAGTCTGCAAGGTCATTTGTGCATTGGGTCACGTCAGGCGTGTGACGTCACTGACCTGACCCTGACCCAAAATGAACTACAAGAAACAACCGACGATGCCTGAAATGGATGGCAAATTCGAATTCAGGGCATCAAAATACCCCGAAAAGGCATACAAGCGCAAGAAGTCATTACAGGTCAACCGAGGTCACTGACCTTACCTTGACCTTTAGTAACCTTCAAAATGTCAACGGACATTGTGCCAATGTCAAATCAGCCAGTTGTGATTCTAAAACAATCCATCAGTGTGTCAGGTCAGTCGGCATTTATACCAATGTGAAGCAATCTCCAATTTAGCGTAAATCTGGCCGGAGGTTGTTCCCTTTATGACGTCATAACTCCGTGACCTGACATGACCTTGATAAAAAATACCAAAAGTTGCGCAAAGGATGCCCCAGAGGGTACTGAAAATTTGAGCAGGCTATCTGAAACGGTTCGGCGTGTAGCTAAGAAAAACCTCAGGGGGGGGGGGGGTGCACCTGCACCAACCCCCCGTACATGGGCGAGGGTTAAACAAAAAGAAAACTATTGATTTTCCTAACACCAGCACAGCTATGCCTTCAATGGCTTAGACAAATAATCAGCACTGTGTGAACCACGGCATGGCCGTAAAATAAACTAAAGAACGACGTATCCCGTGCCGTATGAAAGGACGCATATGTATTTGGCGGGTCAGTCGTCTTATTACTGAGCTAACTTCAGTTTTAAGAACAGCCTGGCTACAATGCATACATTGAAAAGTATTTTGTTTGTAACCCATCAGAAACTGCATGGCAGTTGTAACCGTTTTCTGTTCTGTCGATAAGGGTCAAGATATGAAATCTTATTGAGGACGCTAATCTAATCGATGAAATCATGTAGCATTCAAAAATGATTGAGCTTCATTCGCACTCATGCAATGCGAGGAAATATTGTTAACCACGCAACCCGAGGTCTGCTGTCGAACGCGATTGCCTCGAATGATCCCCGATGGCAGCAAATGTTTTTGCTGACCTTGGTACAATGTACCGAGGTCATCAATAAATTTACCGTAGCACGCCGTCAGGCGTCATACGCCACTGAGAAAACGACCCACATTCTATTATAACGTGGCATTCACCTAAAATAAGCACAGCATTCCCTACCGCAGGGCACTCAGGGCAGAACTGCAGTCACTCCGATAGCGGCAGGGACAGGCTCTGCGCTGAACGCCGGCAGCGGCAGGGACAGGCTCTGCACTGAACGCCGGCTCCCTTCCTCTGTGGGTGGAAGTGCCGCGATAAGAAATGTGGCCACAGAGACATGGCAAGCTTTATCAGACGAGATGCTACCGCCGAGTGCTGTGCCTGTGTCGGTGTTGTGGAAAAAGTGTGGCTAAAGGGTGCATATCTGCTGCATAGCCGGACCCATCGATTAGCAGGTGAGTTAGACGAGCTCACTTCATATTTGAGTGGTTTAAGTGGGTGCAGAAAGCTGTCACGATGTCATCTGTCTTTGTGAGTTGCAATGTTAGGCATTGCATTACCTTTGTCTTAGTTATTATCACTGGTGAAGGGATAAGGCATGACGTCATTTAAACTAGGTATACACGAAGCCATTCGCTTGTGTGATTTTCCCCTTTGGTACAAAGCACAGTTCTGTCATGTAGCGTTTTCCATGGTGCGCCTGTCGTGCAGAAAGGTGCCGATTAAAAATGGTCGCCAGTGTTGCCCCTGCCACCCTCGTCTTTCGTCAATCATTGATGACTGTTGAGATCCCTTCCTCAGGTAGATCTGATCCTGCAGTAGTTAAAAGCCTGCCGCTGTTGGCTCTCAGCATTTCGAACGATGAGCTACGAGTGGGCGGGTCCCGGCATAACCGGAAGATATGGACCACCGCCGGCACTCCCTCCCCGACCGAGCCGAGAAGTGGCACCGCGTCCCAGCCGCGACCCACCACCAGTTCCGCGTCCGCGCCGAGAACTCAGCCCCGAGCCAGAGCCAGAGTGGTACTGGGGCAACATCAGTCGCGAGGAGGCCTCCGAGAAGCTCAACGGCCAGCCGGACGGCACGTTCCTGGTGCGGGACTCGCAGACGGCCAGCGGCGAGTACACGCTCTGTCTGCGCAAGGGCGGCAACAACCGGCTCATCCGCATCTGCTCCAAATACGGCAGGTTCGGCTTCTCGGAGCCGTACCAGTTTGACTCGATGGCGAGTCTGATCGACTACTACCGACGAGAGAGTCTGCGGGAGTACAACCCCCAGCTGAATGTGCGGCTCGAGAGGGCGCTGGTGGAGCCACGACCGGTGAGTATATGTAGAAGGAATCTCCTACCCAGGAGAAAGGGGCGTCGTCGGGGTAGAACTTAGTCGGCAAGGCGATGCCGAGCGGTTGTGATCTCTCGATTTCGAATTATTATTCTGGCTACACAACGGATCGAACCTTAATCGACCAGCTTGTCCCTTTTCTGCATACTCCGTCATAGTACGCTCTACTAATTAGCACATTTCAACGCTCGAAACGCACGCTTGAGCTTTGGCAGAAGTTGCAGCAAGTGCAACCATCCTTGTTTTAGCTCACAGGGCTGTGGACATCCTGGGTCGATAAGGAAATTAGCGGACATTGTGGTTTTCATGCGTTTCTGGACAGCAGCGTGACTCAAAATCCGATTCGCGGGCAAGTGGAGCTGTGTGACTTGTGTTTCAACAGAAACTGTGTCCGCTTCTCGTAACATCTTGACGTAGGTTCGTTGCTCACCGGATGCCCTGTGGCCGCAGATTGGTGACGGCCACACCATCTCCAGTCTGGTGGATCAGTTGCGAGACATGCGTGACGCTTACGACGAGGTGACGGCCGAGCTGGAGCTGCTGGAACGGCGCAGCGACACGCGCTCGTTTGCTATCGCTAACCATAAGAAGGCTCAGGAGGCCTACGCTGAGGTGCTCCTCATGTTTAACGAGCAGGTGCACATAGCGAAGAATATCCGACCAGAGCTCCACGAGCGAGACCAGTGAGTTTCACACAACATCGTCCAGCGCGCGATCGATGGATGGGGCGAGCTGTGCAGAGATGCATTGAGACGAGCTGCCAACTTCTGCCAATTTCTTCCTCATCACGGGCGTAGACTGAAGCTGTGATGGAGGATTGTGGTAGACCGATGCGTGGTGTTCTGGCCATCATGCATTACATGGAATATAGCATCATCAGCTGAAAAGCCATTTTATGTTAAGTTAGGCGGTGTAAGTCACGTATCACATGCGTCCCCAATACAGTATTGATAAAAAAAAATAGTTACCTTTCTGTCAGTTTTGTGGATCTGTTGACCTTCACATGACGTTGTCGGCCAGCCGATGACATTGATGTCTTCGTGTCTCTCCTTCTCAGAGTGCAGGAGAACAGGCGTCACCTGGAGCTGCAGCGAGAACGGGTGCAGCAGCTGCAGCACCAGATGGGACAGGAGCTGCACAGGTGGATGACGTCCCTGCGCTCCACCGAACGGGACCTGGGCGCCGTCCACCAGCAGGAGCGCCAGATGATGCAGGACATCCGAGACGTGGAGCGGCAGCTGCAGCGGCGAGGCGTCAGCTACGCCCAGCAGGAGACGCTGCTGGCAGGCCGCGGTTCTGAGCCGGCCAGCGGCCACGGCGAGCCCCTCTCCGAACAGCAGGACCGCTGGCTGCTCGAGCGCTGCAACCGCGATGGCGCCCAGGCCTTGCTTCGCGACAAGCCGGACGGCACGTTCCTGATCCGCCGGCGCAGTGACCGGCCAGATATGTTCGTGCTGTCCATCTGTGCGCAGGGTCGCGTGGAGCACTGCCCCATCTTCTGGGGGGAGCGAGGTTACGGTTTCTCACAGCCGTACGCCTTTCATTCGAGTCTCGGATCGCTGGTGGATTACTACCACGAGGAGGGAGACCTGAGCGACTTCAACTCGGTGCTGCCCAAGAGGCTGATGTACCCGGCGCTGGGTGTGACTGCGGCGTAAAACATCAGCTGGCTGTGCTCTCACTGATGTATTTTTTGTGTGATAAAAACGAGCATTCAGGTGTGTTTTATTTCTTTTTGTACTTACGCTGAGAGTCAAACGCTACATATAGAGCTTTTACTGCACGTTTTCCAGACCATACATAGTTATAGTTGCGCCATTTCGTTGTCACAAGTGCTTTCGTTTTGGGTAATGTACGATGTGATATAAATGCTAGGTAAGTGATATATCGCTTAACACGAATACTAAGCACGCTTACTCTCCTTTTATTTCTTGTTCGTCAGCCTTAATTAGCCGGAGACTCAGTCTCAATTATCCGGAGACTGAACAACGATTTTTTCTTATTTGTTCATAGGGTGATCGCAGATCCACAATGTTTTGCCAGGAAAAGCTATGTCATGTTATGCTGAGACCACTGCCACGTCAACGAGTAGTAAAGGAATCTTGACGTCAACCACATCAATTATGTTAAAAAGTCAATCATATCAAATTTTCTAAATAGTACAGTGTTCCTGTTTGACTCCGATGTTATGTTGTTGGGTTTCGCGACTTTATTCCACTTTTTCTGGCCTCCATTTGTGTGGATAGTTATTTGATACATGCTCTGCATAACATTGCTGCAATAAAAGGCTACAAGAATGATACGGTGACGTTTTTTTTTTTGTCGGATTGGGCTTTTATCATCATCTTTTTATCTTTATTTTGAGCTAGACAACGATGTGTTCGACTAACTCGTTTTTATATCAACTAAGTCTTTGAAGTTACCCTACCAACAGTCAACACTTCACATGGATTTAATTTAAGCCCAGATCAGCATTTGAGGAGCAGGAACCGATTCCGAGGCAGCCATATGACTAAAGTTATGCATTATGTCGTTTGATATTTTGCTTAGGACTTTTTATAAATACTTTTACCATAGATCAATTTGAGTTTTATGCCTAAGAGTGGTGCAGAATAAAGGCATAATTTGCAAAAGTCAGAACGTACCTACATAATGGGTCATGGTATAGGTCATACTTTAATCTGAAATTGATCACAAGTTAATTCAATTCTGGAATGCGTGCAGAAGATGGGTTTTAAGCAGTAGGTATCTATGTATGTACGTAGAGCAGGCTTTGATTCATTCCAGAAAACGTTTACTCATCTAACTTAATAAAGTGGGTTGACGCATAACTGGTGACGCTTGTTTTTACTCGAGGCGAATATCATTTCAACTTCAGGCATGTGTATACATTTGTAGCTTGTGCTCTGTGCGTCATCACGCAAAACTGATGTGTATAACCAGTTCATTCGTATGTACTTATCTTGTAGTTACTCACCGAAGATGTGCAGTGCTTGCATTCTTATGTAACGTGGATAAAAGAGTGAACGCATGATATAAGCATAACTGAGATTAACAGAGGATGAGACGAATGACGATATTTCGATAACTAGGGCAAATAGCCTGAACTGTATGGAAGGAGAAATTTGTTTTCAGTTGCTTTTGAGAGGAAGGGTTAGCTCGGTGGGCAGACAGCGACAGCTGCGTACTTTAATTTCTACGCAGACGTATGTTAATAACACGTGCAGATGCATGCATATAGATACACAAATTCATACATGCATAACTACCTCATGTACGTTGCAGTCGCAATGTGCATGCTTTGCGTGCGGGACCGGTCCAAGACCCGACGGTGCCAGTTCCGCCTCAGTCGGGCGGCCGGCTCAGTAGCGTGTCGCTGTGTCGTGTATAAATTGTCGGCGATCGTCGGCCGTTGTAGCCGCCTGCGCTCCCACAGGACCCCGGACAGTCGGCCACTCTGTACCGACTGCTCAGGCTCGGCTGAGAGTGAGGACAGCGACTGGGGGCACCAGCCGCAGCGGCAGAACTCGCGGCCCTGGTCGGACATCTCTGGCATGCAGTCCCTGGCTGATCAGTTGATGTTTCATGCAGACGCAGAGCAGTCAGACTGTACTCGCATGATGGATATATATTTTTGTGTTCGGAAGTTCCTGAGTTGACGGTGGCTCTATAGCCAGCCCTGGTCGTCGCTTGGGCCAGTGCCATGCTAATATCCGCTTTTAACCACAAGAATACCTAGTGCTGTTCATTGTGGTCTCAAAATGCACTATATGGTGTATTGTACAGGGAGGTGTGAAAAATGATAATCTTGTGTAAGCTCATACTGACATATATGGCAAAAGTCAATTATTCAAAATAATTTATAATAAGGACCAAAACGCGTTTCGATTATATCGTCATCAGTTGGTCCTAAAATGTTTTAAAAAGTTTTAATAAAATGTCCTAAAAAGTTTTAGGACCAAATGATGACGATATACCTAATCGAAACGCGTTTTGGTCCCTAAATAAATTATTTTGAATAATTGACTTTTGCCAGATAATCTTGTGATCTAGTCGTCCGATCTGGAACGAGGCAGCAGTTCATTCATTTGGAACGCAAGTTAAATTGGAGTTATGAAGACATTCTGCAGACGTTTTATGCAAAATGCATTCACTCTCCAGTTACGTTCAACTACAATGGTATGCAGATCCAATGATTGATTAGCCAAGTTATAAGGCAACTAACAGGATCCCACCGGGAAATCATCGCTTTTCTGAAAAAATGTTTAGAAATAATTTATTTGTGACAAAAACTCCTCCTCCGTCGCTCTCTAGCACTCCCCTGCCCTCTCTTTCCCTCTCCCTCCCTCCCCCTCTCTCTCTCTCTCTCTCTCCCTCTATGTCCGCCTTCTTGTCCCGTTCTCACTATTTCTGACGGCACTGGTAAAGTCGAGCTGTTCCGACCTGGCGTGACCTATCGCAATTGAAGTGTTTTGTCATTCACTATGCCATTTCCCGTGCGGATGACCTCATTTCCTTCACCAATGTGACTCGTCACCATCTATTCCGGCAATATGATTCCAGCGGATAACTCCTAACAGTCGACTCTCGAGCGCCCGTCCGGCTGACCCAGTCAATACTGGCTGTAATTATGACAACAACGTGCACTTATTCCTCCCCAATAGACTTGCAAGCGGCATCGGACCCAGACTGAGCTGTCCTGGGCCAGCTCCAAAGTGGCGGATTTTCCTAAAACTACACAGTCCAGGGCGTGACTTCCGTGGCAACACGTTGGTTCGAGAGGTCATTAGGTACATGCAAATTAAATGGGCGCTCGATTAGCTACGGGGGTCGGAGCGGCGGCGGGTCACAATATGGATACGGCCGGAGCACGGCATAACGCAGTCAATTATTGTCACACAGCACAGCATTGAGTTCATGCCACGGCCAATTACGGTTCTAATACTGCGCATTGCCTCGCCCCTCCCCATACTGCAGCCACCGCGTGAACAACATCTCACTTAGGTCCTGTCCCATTCCATCACGGCTTTACACAGACCGAAATGGTCTTGCACAAACTTGTAGGTCCAGCCTAGCAAGGCTCCTTGCTGCCTAACACGACCCAGCACATCCCAGCACGGCCTTGTCCGATGCAGCACGGCCAGATCCGGGTTGACCGCGTGGGCATCGATCGCCGCTCTGAGGCTGCCCTGCGGCGTACCCCCCACCCCCCGCCTCATGCCCCGAGCTCTGAGTCCCGAGAGCCCCACGCTCCGAGCTCCAAGCTTCACAAGCCATGGCAGTAAATTTGTTTAAAATTAATCATCACATACGATATGGATTTTCGACTTAAGATGAAACTCATTAATCATGTGATGACTCAAACGGTTCATGGGGCTCGCAACGTGGAAAGATGGCTATCAACCTTCAACAATAAGGCAAAGAAGCGCATTCCATGTGGATGATTTTGGGCAATCTATTTACAATATTTAATTTATGGTGTTCTAATAAAACTAATTCACTCACGGAGTTGGAAAGTTTTGTGCGTACCCAGCGGCTTAAATGTTATGAAATTAGAGTACAAGTTGAGTCAACTTATCTCCATTTAGGTATACGGACCTGTTCGTGGATGGGGCCCGGCATACCTTATGACCCCACCATCCACCAAGCTTCCATGGTACGGCGCACTCACCGACATTGCCGATCTTATGAGCCGAGACGGGCACTGCAAACTTCAGTGACGGGTCGTGTCGGCTGGCACGCGGCACGTGTCACGATGAATGTCACGTGGTGCGGCGGCGCGAACGTGCGCCATCCTGCAGCAATAGGCTGAGTGTCAGCAGACGTGCAGGGCCAACTGATGGGCTCAGGGATAATATGGCCAGTCAATGAGGTCGGCAGAGGTCGCACATAGGCACAAACGACTGGGTGGCCTTGGGACAGCTGGTGTCTGTGGCGGCGTCAGCTAGCGTTTCCTGTTACTACTTAATCATTTTGTTTAAACATGCTTCCTTATCAACAGGCTGGCAATGAGATAAACGCTACAACGTGAAATGGCAATGCATGCACGATACTGATTGGAAGAAGTCTTAAATTACTTGAGAATGTCATGCCATCACTTATCTATGGTTGGTTCACAACTAACGGAGTGCATTACGGGTCATAATTATTATTTTTTCAATACAGTTATCAAAGGATAACGTTACACCGTGCATTTGATAGCGCTAGCGCTCGAATGATATTGATGGCATACCAAAGCGAACATTGATTGATGCAATGTCTACCCTCACCATATCAACAGAGCATGCATTCGTGAATTCAAGTTGCGTTCCATTTATCAAACCTGTCACCTACCTATGCCGTGATAAAGCACCCCACCGCCCTTCTACTGCCATATTCAGGTCATCCCCAATCGTATGCCCACTCGCGATGAACCTCCTACACGCACCACATCTGGCCAGTTAGCTGCCCATATCTGATATACAAGCTACTACACTTGCCCGCATCCGATTCGGACGGCTGATGCGCCGACACAACCCACCAACACTATCACTATGGAGCGTTTCGCAGTCGCTCGAACACGACCAGCGATCTGGCGGGCTCCATATGCGGGCTCAGACTCATGCCCACGTTGGTCTACAAGCGCCGCTCCGCATAAGAACTGACTGCTCACCGCTGATGGGCAGTGTCCTCCACCCACGTCCGGACACAG